TTTCCTTTCCTTTCCTTTCCTTTCCTTTCCTTTCCTTTCCTTTCCTTTCCTTTCCTTTCCTTTCCTTTCCTTTCCTCCCATCTCCCTAAATCTTTCCAGTGCCCACCTTTCCCACACGCAGCGCACTCGGCTCTCCCAGCCCACCCTGCATTAAACCCCAGTGTTTGCAGACAGGTCTCCCGGCAGTTTCCAAACTCACCTGCAAAATGCTGCTTGCTGCTAGAATCCAGGGCAAAAGCCACCTCATCCCTGGAAGCCGGGATTAAATACATTTGATTGAACCCAGATTTAGAGCCGTTTTGAACAAAAACACCACTTTGGGGAATGCAGAGCAATCCTGAACTGGCAACCTAGCCTAGGCACTCTGCCTTTTTCTCTTGGCTCTTTGGGGATTTTATTAAAGACAGATCTGACGTCACAGTGAAGGACAAGCCCTGCATTTTTCCTCTGGAGAAACTTTTCCTGCCTTCACTTCTTCATTTTTGTGTGTGGTGTTGTCCCACCTCCTGCATTTCAGTGCATCGCCGTGAGCCAAAGGGCTCTTAAAGGGAAAGCTGCAGCGCCGGGGTCCAGCCCGCTGCGATTTTAGCACAGCCCCGAACGGCTCGGAGCTCATCCCTCACGGTGCTGAAGGGCTCAGACTCCTGCAGTGTAGCTAGTACATCGAGAAACTGATCTGCATTTACTGCTTACAATCAGTGGCATGACACGTATACACATTATTATTCACAGATGTTTGATTTAGTTGATTTTTAGAAAGAGTGACTTCATTTGAAGAGCAAAAGGACATTTGTCCTACACACCCTGTGGGAAGCAGTCTGACAACTCCTTTGAGACTCCCCTCTTTACAGAGCAGCCCTAGATCACACAATCCCCTGCCATGCCACACATCCCTTCCCTGATTTCAGAGTTCAGGAGTGTGCATCAGCCCTGGGCCAAATTACACTTCTATCCTGTGTCAGCAGTGGGCATGACAAATATTGTCCAGGCCCATGGGAGTGCAAACCCCACCCTGAACTCAAACCTCACCCCAAACTCTCTGACCACCTGTATCCCTGCTAATGTTTGCCCTGATTTTAGCTGAGAAATGTCTGATGTATTTTTCTCCTTTGACTTAGGCACAGGACTAAGTTTTCCTCCAGCCATTCTAAATCTGAATTTAAAAGAATTTAAAGTCTTTTTCATCCCTAAACTGAAATAGAATATTATAAGGAAAATGAGTGCTAGCAAAGGGAAGGAAAACCCTGTTAAACAGCTTCACAGGTCTTAAATTCAAGTGTTTATTCATGGGCTAAAATAAGTGTCAAGGTAAACTTAAAAGTAGGCAAACTTTTCTTCTTGATGTGACAGACTGGGCAGTGATATGTGGGTGAATCACTCTGATGGCCAAACTAGACTGAGATGTTTCCTTAACCTCTGCTCAGCTTTGGTTACCACCTGGAACTCAGGTATGCCAGGTTGGGTTGGGATGAGCCATTCCCAGCCCCTCACCCTAGGCAGCCATCCAACATAAGAAGGACATGGAGCTTTTAGAGTGGGTCCAGAGGAGGCCACTAAGATGATCAGAGGGATGGGGTACCTCTCCTGTGAGGAATGACTGAGAGAGTTGGAGTTCTTCAACCCGGAGAAGAGAAGGTACCTAGAAGACCTTAAAGCATCCTCCAGTGCATAGAGGAGCTCCAAGAGAGCAGGGGAGGGTCCATTGGCCTTCTTGTAGTGACTGGACAAGGAGAAATATCTCTATGCTGAAAGAAGCTAGATTTAGATTAGATATAGGAAGAAATCCTTCCCTGTGAGAATTGTGGAAGACTGAAACAAGTTCTCCTTAGAAACTGTGAGTTCCTCATCTCTGGAAGTGTTCAAGACCAGGATCCCTGGTCTTGGATGGGGCTCTGAGCAACCTGGTCTAGTGGAAGATGTCCCTGCCCACAGAAGGGAAGTTAGAACTAGCTGATCTTTAAAGTCCCTTCCTACCCAAACTATTCTGATTCTATCCCAGCCCCCCGGGTATCTGGTGCTGTGTGCGGCTTGCTCCACAGACTTGGCACAGCTGCATGCTCAAGGCTGGGGCTGATAGTGTGTGGGGTGAGAAACCTTCTCCAGTAACTTCTGGTCACACAGCAACTTCTGTCCCTTCATGCTGTGTGACATGACGTGGGCAGTTTAATGGTTTCACACCAGCTGGACCAGGGAGCTCTAAAAGATCAGTTTGTGTGACAGTCTGGACAGACAGCTGCTCTGAGAGATGATTCAAACAGAATTAAATGCAAACTGAAGGAAGTTCCATGAGCTATCTTCCTCCTCCAGCACCTTCACCCCTACCACAGCCCCTTCCCAGCACTCACAACCCTGAAGACCAGGCTCAGGATTGTGTTTTCTGTCAGATTCCTCCAGAACTCTGTCTATTTTCTCTCCTCTATATCCTCCTCCTTTTTCCTCACTTCCTCCTCTGTTTGTTCATTCCAGCCTTTTCTATTTCAATGTTTCCCTTTCACCCTGCTGTCGCCAGCACATCTTTCCTTGTACACTGTTGATATTCTGCTGGGGAATGTAGAACAAACCCTGTTCTCTTCTTGTCACCACACAGGTGGTATTCACCTGCATGTGCATCCCACTGAGTGCCAGATTTTGGAGTCCAAACCTCTAACACTTTAAGTGCAAGCAGCATTTTGAGAGTTCAGTTCCCCTGACCTAGGTGAAATGGCCTTTAAAAAAAAAAAAAAAAAAAAAGTATAAAAAATGAAACTATTTGGGTTAGCATAGGGTAAAAGGCTCAAATGTAAATCTGATTGCTAATATTTCATACAAATTGTGGTTGCTGGCTTGGAGATGGAGCCATGATAGCAGGTCTGGCAAAAATAACTTTCCAAATGAAGGAAGAACAAAAGTTCAAAGCTCCTGTTGTATCAGACTACAACATCAAGGGAAAGAGCACTTTAGAAATGACATAAAAATGGCATTGTTTTGGTTTGGATTTTTTCCCAAGAACATTTGATTATCTCTCTCTCTTTGAGTATTTCCTCAGCATATTTCATGGCCTCAGTGAATTCCTTAGCAAATGTTGTGGTCAAGTGTGTCAGCAAGGATGAAGTCACTGAGATGTGGACATCTGGCTGTTTGAGGCTCCACAGCCCACCTCAGCTGGCTTGTGAGAGTTTGACATGTGATCATAAACCAGAAGTGCCTTAGCTTGGAAGGACAGGGCTCAAGGACTGCAGCCCCAGGGCAGGGGTGCTGAGACACCCAGGTGCCTGAGCAGCCTTTGTGACAGTGATTGCTGTGTGGATATGGCACACTGGGACACTTACAGGTGTGTCTGGGTGCAATGTTATTAAATCCCAAATAACAGGGATATTTCAGCTCTTGTTGAACTCCTTGATAGTAGCAGCACAAACCTGGGTTTCTGTGAGCTCTCAGATCCCTTGAAGGATGACAATGCTAAAAGACACCATTGCAATCCTGTGTCACCTTGGCCTGATCCTGGGGAGTCTTGTACTGACCTCACTAAATAAATGCTCTAAAGACACTTCTCTGTCTAATTCAAAGACTTCAATTGAAGATCTTCAAATGATGGAAAATCCACTTAATGTTTTGATGAGTTCAGTTACATTCACTATTTAACATTTGTGCCATATTTCAGTCTGAGTTTGCTGGTTTCATCTTTCTGCCAATGTCTGCTTGGCTGATGAGAATTCAGCACCTTCTTCCAACATATAAATATTCAAAGGTTCCATAAATCACTGCTGACTCTTCTCTTTAACAAAATAAGGACGCCACATCGCTTTTAATTCCCACTGTCAAATTGTTTTTTGGGAACTTGAATGTAATAGTTTTATGCCTTTTATCTCTTTACCCTTCCCTTTCCATGGACATTATGTCTGTGAATGCCACTATCCATCACTCTACAGCTACCCAGAGTGAACAGGAAATAGGCAGCATATCCCAGTTCAAGCTAGGTCTGATTCTGTCAGGCTAATGCTTTAATATCACTTCTTCCTCAATGGATCCCTTATGCCTCTCGGCCACATAAACAGGTTTCTCAATTTGACTTCATTTACAGTCTTCTTAGAACAAATAAACTGGGAAATAGATTGATTTATTTTATACTGTTTGATTTGTCTGACACTTTTATTGAAGGCTGTAGCCAGCCAAAGAATACAGGGACTACTAAGAACAGAAAAAGGGCTCAGGAAAGATGAGTGCTGTTTTCTCTTGCAAATGCATGGCAGGAATAGCTTCTTGCCTGTAGCTGATTTCCTTTGTAAATAAGTGAGATCAGAGTTTACCTACAAGTCCAAGGAGAAAAAAAAGAACACCTTGGACTTTCCTGACTCATGAAAGGTAAAGGCTAATGCATGAATCTGACTTTTAAATGAACCAAACCACTAGTTATGTTAGTTTCCTATCAGGGTGCTTTTTCTTCTGCTTTTCTCTGTGATGAAGGTGACATCCATTTCAACCAGCAGAAAGGCTGGGATTCAAGAAGCACATACTGGAATGGAAAGGGAGGTGGAGGAGTTAAACTGCACCATCAATTATTGTTGTTGTTATTGACACTACTTAGGTAATAGGAAGGAGAATTACATCAGCCTGGGCCTTTGAAATATCAAAGCTTTTAAAACAACAGTATGAGAACATCTGTTTTAGCTGACTCTCGATAACATCGAGCATCTGAACACTCAGCCAGCCCCACTCCAGCACAGGTGAATCTCATTTTCAGAGTTGCTGCCCTTTGCAGATGAGACCTGACACCTGAGTGAAAGAAACTGCAATACTACAGGAAGATTCAGTCTATTGCTGTCTAAAGAGTCTTTCCTAAGAAGATGGACAGGAATCACACTGTAGATAAAGAGCAAAATGCTCCTTTGCTCCTGTTGAGCCTCGTGTCCCTCTGATAGTGATGCAGTACCAGGAGCTAAGCTGGCAAATCCAAAACTGAATTCCCTCAGTCCTTTAGAAAATGCCAGATGAAGGGATTTACCTTGGAATGTTACTCAGCCCAGGTTTCCATTACTGAGTATGTATGCACCATGTTGTGTGACTTGAACTCCTTATGCCAGAATATTTGTGAGGCTGATCACACACCCAGCTGCTAAACAGAAAATCAGCTGGACCAGGTAAACCAGCCTGACTGTCAGCACTCCAGGACCAACTGGTCATTTCTCCAAAGAGCTGGTGTAAATCAGCTCCACTGATTTAGATGAGGCAGCAGCCAAGTATGAAAAATGAAACATTCAATATTTAATTCATTCATGCAGCCAAAACAATTTATTCCCACCATTTGAGCAGGACTATTGCCTTTGAGGAGACATGACTGTGGTTTCATTCCCCATAAATAAAGTCAGATTTATTAGGA